CTTGAACAAGACACAGCGTCAGAAGCGTCTCGCCTGGGCTAAAGACAAAAAGGAGTGGACTGATGCTGAGTGGTCCAAAGTTGTTGTTCTCTGATGAAAGTAAATTTTGCATTTCCTTTGGAAATCAAGGTCCCAGAGTCTGGAGGAAGAGAGGAGAGGCACAGAATCCACGTTGCTTGAAGTCCAGTGTAAAGTTTCCACAGTCAGTGATAGTTTGGGGTGCCATGTCATCTGCTGGTGTTGGTCCACTGTGTTCAAGGTCCAAGGTCAACGCAGCCGTCTACCAGGAAGTTTTAGAGCACTTCATGCTTCCTGCGACCAGCTTTATGGAGATGCAGATTTCATTTTCCAACAGGACTTGGCACCTGCACACAGTGCCAAAGCTACCAGTACCTGGTTTAAGGACCATGGTATCCCTGTTCTTAATTGGCCAGCAAACTCGCCTGACCTTAACCCTATAGAAAATCTATGGGGTATTGTGAAGAGGAAGATGCGATACGCCAGACCCAACAATGCAGAAGAGCTGAAGGGCACTATAACACCTGAGTAGTGCCACAGACTGATCGACTCCATGCCACCCCGCATTGCTGCAGTAATTCAGGCAAAAGGAGTGCTGTACATGTTCATACTTTTCAGAATCAGAAGTTTTATTGCCAGGTATGTGTACACATACGAGGAATTTGACTCAGGATTGTACATTGCTCACGATGTGCTTACTCATACAAAAATACAATAACAATAATAAAATAATATCAGACACAAACTACAGAATAGACAATACTAATATACACACTATGAACAAAACAATATAGACAAATAGTGCAGTGATCAGAGTGCAAAGGATGCAAGAGTAAACTATTCTCATTATGTACATGTTGAAGGTGAATATGATATACAGGTACACATACACATACATGCATACATGTACACATGTACACAGTGTGATGGAGCATAGTGCAAAGGATGCTGTAAAAAATAAACAAGACCTATTGTTACAGGTGGCGTGGTGTGGGGACAGAGAGGACCCAAATGCAACGTTCAGAAGGAAGGAGGTTAATTGAAGGAAAAAGGGTTAGAGGGACTGGAGTGGAGGGAGAGGTGGATGCTGGGGAAACACAGGCACGGGGAACCGAGGAGACTGGGACCAGAGAGCCAGGGAACACTGGGGCCAAGGAAGCGAGGATGCGAGGGAGAACAGGGAGGACGCCGTGGGGGAGGTGAGTACCGGGGGATGAGCCCAGCCAACTGAACGGAGGACGAGGGTGAGTGAACTGGGTAAGGAGCGGCTGTGTGGCAGGCTGACGAGGTGGCTGATGAGGTGCAGGTGCAGGTTGTTGGCTGGGCTCAGGAGCGGAGGGAGAGAGAGAGAGCACACACGGGAGGAGACACAGGGAGGCAGGCAGAGAACAGAGAAAACCAAGGAAAAAGCAGAATAACCGATGAAAAGGAGAAAAAACCAGGACACTCACTGTCAGCCGGGTTGCCACCACAACAGGGCCCCCCCCCCCTCAACGGACGCCTCCCGGCAGTCCTCCCAGTTGGCTAGGCAGGGCTGGGCAGAAGTCAGCTGGTGGGGGTCCAAGGTCCAAAACTAAACACAGGGACTTCAGAGAGGGTTTCAGGGCTGGGAAGGGTCAGGCGAGCGGGCAGGGCTGAACTGAGGACATAGGGCCAGACTGGGTGCCAGAGGACAGAGTGGAGGGACCAGAGGGTTCGGGCGGACGTCCCAAGGGCGGAGCAGAGGGACCAGAGGGTTCGGGTGGATGTCCCGAGGGCGGAGCAGAGGGACCAGAGGATTCGGGCGGATGTCCCGAGGGTGGAGCAGAGGAACTAGAGGGTTCGGGCGGATGTCCCGGGGGCAAAGCAGAGGGACCTGAGGGTTCGGGCGGACCAGGGGAGCCAGGGAGTTCAGGGGGCAGCCCGAGAACAGAGCAGGGGAGCCAGGGAGGTCCGGAGGGCAGCCCGAGGGCGGAGCAGGGGAGCCAGGGAGGTCCAGCGGGCGGCCTGAGGACTGAGCAGGGGAGCTAGGGAGGTCCGGCGGGCAGCCCGAGGACTGAGCAGGGGAGCCAGAGAGTTCGGGCGGGCGGCCCGAGGGCGGAGCAGGGAAACCAGGGATCTCAGATGGGTGGCCCAAAAGCGGGACAGAGAGGGAGCAGGAGAGTTCAGGCCGGGCTGGTGTCAATCGATCCGCCAAGAGAGCACGAGGAGCAGGGGTAGGCTGGGCCACCAACGGGGCTGAAGCTGAAGGTGTGGGGGTGATGGCTTGTGATGGCTTGTGGGAAGAAACTGTTCCTGAGTCTGTTGGTTTTGGCGTACAGTGCTCTGTAGCACCTACCAGAGGGGAGGAGCTGGAACAGGTTGTGTCTGGGATGAGATGGATCTGCAGTGATGTTTCCTGCCCGTTTCCTGACTCTGGAAATGTACAAGTCCTGAATGGAGGGCAGGTTGGCACCGATGATCTTTTCTGCAGTCCTGACTGTCCATTGTAGTCTGTCCTTGTCCTTTTTGCTGGCAGATCCAAACCAGACTGTGATGGAGGTGCAGAAAACAGACGATGATGGCTGTGTAGAACTGGATCAGTAGCTCCTTAGGCAGGTTGAGCTTCCTGAGCTGACGTAGGAAGTACATCCTCTGCTGGGCCTTCTTCATGATAGTGTCAGTGTTGGGCTCCCACTTCAGGTCCTGGGATATAGTGGAACCCAGAAACCTGAAGGATTCCACAGCAGACACAGGGCTGTTGAGTATGGTGATGGGGGGCAGAGTGGGGGGGCTCCTCCTGAAGTCCACGGTCATCTCCACAGTTTTGAGCGTGTTAAGCTCCAGGTTGTTCTGACCGCACCAGAGAGCCAGCGGATCAACCTCCCGTCTGTAGGCCGACTCGTCACAGTCCCGAATGAGGCCGATAATTGTTCTGTCGTCAGCGAACTTCAGGAGTTTGACAGATGGGTCCCCTGAGGTGCAGTCATTGGTATAGAGGGAGAAGAGCAGTGGGGAGAGCACACACCGGGATGATGGTGTTGAACGCCGAGCTGAAGTCCACAAACAGGATCCTAGCATATGTCCCTGGAGAGTCGAGGTGTTGCAGGATGTGAACTTGTGCAGCCCCAAGTTGACCGCATCATCCACTGACCTGTTAGCCCTGTAGGCAAACTGCAGGGGGTCCAGCAGGGGGCCTGTAATGTCCTTCAGGTGGGCCAACACCAGTCTTTCAAAGGACTTCATGATTACAGATGTCAGGGCGACGGGCCTGTAGTCATTTATTCCAGAGATGGAGGGTTTTTTTGGGACCGGGATGTCTGTGGAGCGTTTGAAGCAGGAGGGAACTTCACACAGCTCCAGTGATTTGTTGAAGAGCTGAGTGAAGATGGGGGCCAGCTGGTCCACACAGATTTTCAGGCACGATGGTGGGATACCGTCAGGTCCAGGAGCCTTCCTGATCTTCTGCCTTTGGAAGAGATGGCTCACGTCCTCTTCACAGATCTTGAGGTGTCAGAGGTGGCAGTGTGTCAGAAGGGGAATGTGACTGTTTGAAGATAGCGTTGAAGTGGGGGAGGTGTGACTCTGGGCTTTTCAAATCTACAGTAGAAACCATTCAGCTCGTCTGCCAGTCATTGTGTACCAGCAGTGTTGGGGGATGGTCTCTTGTAGTTTGAGAGTGTCCGTAGGCTTCTCCACACTGACGCAGGGTCGTTGGCTGCAAAGCTATTATTTAGCTTTTTTAATGTCTTTCATATCCTTTAATGTTGTGTAGCAGTGGTCCAGTGTGTTAGTGTCCCTGGTGGGACACTTAATATTCATGTTCATACTTTTCAGTTAGCCAACATTTCTAAAAATCCTTTTTTTGTATTGGTCTTAAGTAATATTCAAATTTCCGGAGATACTGAATTTGGGATTTTCATTAGTTGTCAGTTTTAATCATCACAATTAAATGAAATAAACATTTGAAATACATCAGTCTGTGTGTAATGAATGAATATAATATCCAAGTTTCACTTTTTGAATGGAATTACTGAAATAAATCAACTTTTTGATGATATTCTAATTATATGACCAGCACCTGTGTAGCCACTGTACACAAGTTAAGAACTCTGTAACACTCCTCAGTTTTCCCAGTTATTTCATGTGAATACTGATTTCCTTGCACGTGGTTTCACAAGGGGCTACCCAAATCAAAGTCCAGAGCAGAGTTCACAAGCAGGCCTTTAGCCAAAAGTCCAAAATCCTTTTCATTTTAATCATTTTACTATACTTAACTATAGTTTCTTCATACTAATTTAACTGAATTTTGGTATTGTTTCCAATTCCCCTAGAACAGGGTTGCCCAACCGTCAATAAAATAAGGAGATAAAGTAACCCTACAGATATAGATGGAGAGCTGCTTTCAGAGGGAGCTAGCAGCTAGGTGACCTGACAAAACTAATGGACAGCAAGGGTCACAGGTTAAGAGGTCACAGAGGTTTGGCCTACTAAGTAGCCTGCCTACTATTTTAAGCGAGAGCAAAGAAAATTATATAGTTTTTTTGTATAAATTATCTAGTGTGCTAAGATTTATTTAACATGTGCAAATCATTTTTTTTACAACTTCAAGCCAGATGAAGCCTTGTGATCTTTGGCGCCCCCTTGAGGGGTGCGCAAACCCCAGTTTGGGAACCACTGCTCTAGACAATACAAAGACTATGTCATCTGTGGTCCCTATGGACTTATCAAGAGGTGTAGCATCGAGTGCAGAAGTAACCCTAATATTACCACTACAGTTAACTTCCAAGTACAAAAGGAAATAGAGATTTTTTCCTGGGAAGTTATAATTTTGAAAGTACGGAAAATCTCAACATAGTGTGTGTTATGCAACCGTTGGAAAGCTGCCTTGTACTATAAGTTAAGTATAACAGCAGCAAACACAGGCTTTCTACTGACTAATCACTGTCTAAATATATCTTACTAAATATGTCAAATGATTGTCTGCCTTCCCTCCTTCCTTCCCTTCATGTCCCTGTTGACAGAAAGGGGGATCGGCTCATAACTGCGGCCAGCTGAAGGTGGGTCAGGTCATCTTGGAGGTCAATGGCATTTCCCTTAGAGGTCGGGAGCACAAGGATGCCGCCTGGATCATCGCCGAGGCCTTCAAGACCAAAGAGAAGGATCACATTGACTTCCTGGTGGTTGAGCCAGGACTCTAGTATGAGGACTATTGTATTTTATGCAGCTTTATTGAATTAGACACTGTTTTACTGCTTCGAGGGAACCTCATGAACTCCTCATGATGTTGTCCTATAACCATGGCCCTCATTTTAATTTCAGGGAAAGGATTAGTAAAAAGATGTGTTGGGTATTTGTTGATTGCACTCTACTAGGATTTGCACAATTGAAATTTAGAAAAGGAAATGACATTAATATTTGCCATAAAACTAATATGCAATTTTTTTGGAACATTATTATTACTATAGATAAGGTCCAAAAAGCTTAAAGACAGAACTTGCTATAGTTAAATAATTATTTTATTATTCACACATATCACAGCCTTTGTCTGAACATTTCATTCTTTTGGCAATGTTTGCCCTGTAAAATCTGCGGACGAATTTTCAGATGTCAAATGCACGAGGCTGAAGTCCATGGAATTTCCTCTGACTGAAATGAAAAGTCCATAGGTTGATGAATGTGGACCAATCGCCGGGATGTGCACAGTCTAGCACGTGCTTTATTGTGAGTATGTGAAACAGTCTCTTCAGAAGAACTTGATGAGGATTATGAAAGAGATAAAAAAGAAAAACAAATGAAAAGGTCTTCAGTGAGGATTGAACAAAAAACCCTACAGTCATGTGTCCTCTGTTCTACCAAATGAGCTAACCAGTGACACTGTAAACTACACTGAAATTATCATTAACAAACGTTCCTGCTGACCCCTGTGTTAAACTACTATTTTGTTATCTTGAGATCACGAGAAAATTATCCCGTTATCACGGGAAAACTGAATAAAACATAATTGAATCGATGGCCACTTAGGGCTTCCGTAGTGTAGGCAGGATGGAATTGTATTGATAAATTACAGCACACTCGTTCAGAATTTTGGCAGGCCCAGAAGGTAAGAATGAGAAACAAACAACATTCCAGGCAAATATAGGCATCATCTCCTCAGGTAAGGCCAGTCAGAGGAAATGAGCTGTCAGGCAGTCAGTCCCACAATCTGTATGTATTTCCCCGATCGGGGGAATATTCATTTTTCAAAGTGAGATGTGTCTTCTAATTGGTGAAATACAAAAAGCATGTGGGACTGACTGCCTGACAGCTCATTTCCTCTGATTGGCCCCACCTGAGGAGATGATGCCTATATTTCCCTGTAGTGTTCTTTATTATATCAGGAATGACAACCCATAATTCCCATATCTCAAACAGCATATAATGGCAAAATGAAATAAATCCAATGATTCTGCCTTAAAATAAGAATTATTAAGATGATCTACTGAATTGAAGCCTTTGATTCTTTAATAATCTACTTTTAAATCAACTAATCACTTTTGGAAATCAAGCCTCATCAAACTCTTTCCCCACAGATTTATACATTAGCAGCTCCCTAATAATGACCAAACCAGTGCCAGAGCATGTTTAACCCATCACAATGATTTTGAATATGTTCATTTTGTAACATCTCTTCAGTAGTTTAGCTAAAGTGCCGTATGTACAATATGTTCAATACCTATAGCCAAATAGTTTGTATATAATGTTGATTGCTTACAGTCCTACATACAGTCAAACGACTCTATATAACTATAATATTGAATAGTTACAGTAGAAAAGTATTATAATACTACTTAATTCATATTTTACTTCATGTCTTCCCCCAAAAGCCTGAAGTGCAGAAAGTGCCATGGTCTACGTTGATGATAGTGAGGACTGAGACTCAGTAATGAATCATAGAGCTGCTAATGCACCGTACAGGAAGGACTGATCAGATTGGTGTATCCTGTTATAATTAATAAGGTGTGCAAACAGTGTGAAGCAGAAAGTCAGGTCCATTTTCAGGTTTGTACAAAAGACAGTTTACGACCAAATCACATTCGATTCACTGAATGTGAGAAATGGCATTTTGTCTTAAAGGTGGGGTAAGTGATTCTGGAGAAATTCAATACCATGACAAATACTAAAAATGTAACTAACCTATGTTGTGGATTAACAAACTGTCCCTACAGTTGCTGCTGCGAAGCTCACATCACAACAACAGCATGTCTTGGTGAATTAGAAAGTAAGCTGAAGGTCTGTGGGCCAGTCATTTTACATACGTTACTGACCATGGGCGTAAATTTCATTAATTTCATTCACAGTCGGGGGGACAATAAATGTAAAATTTCTCAAGAGCAATTTTTGAGGGGGACACAAATAATACAGCCAAAACTGTACTTGTTTAATAGGATACGTGTACACAGAGAGTCTTTTTCTGGCCAACAACTCAAAGCAATAGTTGTTTCTAATATATATATATATATATATATATATATATATATATATATATTAGATATTTAGGGCAGGCCAACTGATCTGCCTCTACAAAGGTAGTGCTATGGTGTCAGCCTAATATCGGTTCACACACAGGATTATCACTTTAGTAAGAGATGCACAGATTTAATTTTTTGGCCGATTCTGATTTTATTTCTTTCTAAAATCTATAACTGACCGCACAAACATTTTTGTAACTATTTATTGGAAAAATCTATTTTTATTAGGAACCCCAACAGCACCAGTATAAATGTTAGCTAGTCTCAATTGTATGGTCATAATGAAACATTGATTATAACATTAGCATTTTCACTGGTAGGAGCTAGAAATAAATAGCACACACCATTTTAATTCTCCAATTTATTTTTGTGTTTACTCACAAACTACAGTAGGCTAATCTGCACACCTTGCTTTTCCCGTCAGACACACAAGCACACCTACACCCGTCTGTCTCTCTCTGTCTGCTCAGACTTTGTCAGCAGTTTTATTTAAAAGAACTCGAGTTTGGTTTTTCACCCGCGATTCCGTTTTCACAGCAGCAGGTGAGCAGCGTCTGGAGGAGGCTTGTTTTAAATGCCGCGTTCCAGACCGGTCGGAACTGGGAAAATTCCGTTTACTTCCGACTTCCGACCTCAATGCGTTCCAGGTGTATGGTGGTGCATGACGCCGAAAGTGTACACACAGTTGCACCCTCAGCAGAGGCTTAACATATTTCTACATCAGTGTACATGCAGAACAGGTTTTACAATATGACCGTATGTATTATTAAAATTTAAATACATGCAAATATACTTGTTGTTGCTTTTTTAACTTTTTCTCCGACTTCACAAGTAGGAAATCCGACTTCAGGTGGCGTGTCAGGGTAGTTTTTGTAATTGGAGGTCGGTCCTTTCCCAGTTCCGCGTTGCCAGTAACGCAGCATAATTACCGATAGAGACCACCCTGGTATGAATGACATCGTCACCAACAGCTGTATTCACTGTTGCTTTACAATATTCATCGTTGTCTTCTAACGTGATACAAGCACGCTTCTCTTTCTGTGTTTCTCTGCAGATGTAGTGAGCGTTGCGTCTTCTTCACTTCTGAATAACTTCCACACACCTAAGACGTGTTTTAGCCTTTGTGTGTGTGGCTGTGACATGAGGTTACTGTCTGTGCACACATGTGAAACACGGCGCAGCGCTGCCTGTTTGTAACGTTCTCTTTGTAACATCTATAGCTGTAGAAGATGATTTCCAGTCCAATAAGCTGTTAAACAAGATACCAAATAAGCTAGGTAATGTTATAATAACAGAGTGGGCCCATAAAAAAATAATCTTTTATCATGATTAATTTATTAATAACTCAGCATCTGTATTACAGTCAAAAGAATCAGTTCATCCAATTTTTAAAGTGCATAAAACAGCCCTGCCAGCCTACTCAGCATTACTGGAGTTCCACTACTACTGAAGGATTTAACTGGTTTTCTGCCACTGGATGCCTGTGGGAGAGAAATCAGGCAGTGGACCAACCACTGTGAGGCAAGAGAGGGGGGACTCAAAATGTTTCTAAACTTAAAAAGCACTTGCCCTGTTTGCGGTTGTATTGTTTTACTATTTACACAGTTCTATTTTAAGTATATATCATTATATTATTTGATGGTTTTTAAGGGGGGGACACCCCTCAGATGGGGGGGGGGGGGGCATTTGCAGTCCCAATAAAGGGATGTTGCTTTGTAAATTTATTTTAAAGCTGAGGCTACAGTATATGCACTCAATAAATGCACAGACAAAAAATCTTGAAAACTGCAGTGCAAAGATTTGTCCATGTAGAACATTGATCAGTGACTGATAAAATCTTATTGGGGCAGGTTAATATTTGGACTGTGTCTGCAGTATTGGGGGTACTCAACTCCGAATTCCGATGTATTAGTCAGCCTGTGAAAACTGTTGTTTAATGTCTTCTCTATCAATGAGAAAAATAACCCTGCTGATATCACAGTGCTGTCACCACAGTTATCTTGGCTTGGGCTTGGAGAATATTACTACTATTTCTTGCTATTACTACTATTAATACTAATACTTTGGGGAGTATTTACTTACTCATTTTACTTTTACAAGACCCCTGTTTCAACAAAGGTCAAACCTATTGTTCATACTTATGATCTACAGCATGAATTCATTTTATAATACTTTTCAACATGGGCTGTGGACACCCAAATAAGCAGTGTGTTTTTAAATACACTGGACAGTCAGTCATATATGTGACTTTTATTTGGTCTGTTCCTTCAAAAGCATTTGCTTGTTCCAAAGGGTTGAGACATATTTTAGTATCTGTTCATTTGGTAACTGCAGCCATGATCCAAAGTATTACACTAGAGCCAAGTAATCCAAGCTAAGAAAACAGTATTGCATGCTTTAAGGTCTGATACTATTTATGATGGTTATATTATATTTTTGTAATCTAATGGCATAATCCCACTACAGTGAGCTAATAGTGATTACTAGAGAAATGTTTAGTGATAATATGTATGAGTGATGCAACACTAAAGTGTCTGGATTCAAGGATGAAACGTTGATGAGAATACTGTGTTATTTCAATTAGACTATGTTTGTTGTGAATGTAAACTGTTCAAATATTATATATATTGTACAGGAAAGGCTGCACATAGATTTATAGAGATGTATATACAGTAAATTGTGAGAGGTTAGAGAATTATTTTGTTACACACAGTTATGTAAACTCTTTGTGGCTTATGAAACTACTAACATCTCTTGTGTGTTTCCCTTTCCATATCCTATCACAGTTGTCTCACTACAAATTATTCTTAGGTCACTTATTGTATTTGTTCTTGCAATCTTTTTTCAAATGGCAAAAAGTGAAATACTTACAAATATTCCCCAAACCGAATTCCTGAAGACACAATAAAACACACTGATAAAACTAAAGCAT